ATTATTTTATAGATACGAATTGTAATGTCTTTATATCAACAATGAATCTTCAGATATGATGCATGTTATAAATTCTTAATACCATTAAAAAAAATATAGTTATCATAATGAAAGCTTGCTTGAAGAAATTAATCAACATTCTTCTTTATTCGATCTCGTGAATATTTTATCTAGTGGAATAGACAAAAACTAGAAAGCTTTTAAAAGTTTTTGGCGAAGAGTTAGGATCATTATATCCCTATAAAAAATAAATTATAATAATAATAATAATAATTATAATTGTGTGATGTTATAATTAAAATTATAGTTAAAAAACAATTAATAGACGTGATTTCTAAAGTAAATAAAATTTCAAGTTTATATATCCAAGAAAAATTCAAAAATACAAGAGTATTTTTGAAAAAGATTACGAGTATATATTACGAACCCCTCTAAAATATTTGAATATCTGAATATGGGTGGTTGTACATAAACCTGTCTTGTGTACTATGAAAGTCACCCCACAAGCTGCGTGTATCAAATTCAACACTATAGCGCATTTTTTATTTTACTATCATTATTGCACGTAGTCAAGAATACAAAACCCATCAATATAACGCAATTCGACGTTTTGATTTTTTTTAGTTGTAATAATATTAACATATTAATATAAATTAAACATTTTTTTGACGACTAACACCATTTCATTGTTGCAACTACTATATATGGGCCCATTATATTGCATACGGTATTATACGACGTGATATAATACTAATACGGTATTAATATTATACCAGGTATTATTAGTATTAATTTAGAAACTTTATGATTATTAAATTCGGTATACGTGTAAACCAAATCCCAGCTATAACGAACATAAGATAAATGCTTCGTCATATAGAAGATTTACTGTATTTTCAGGATTTTTATTTTCATCCAATTAATACGTAGAAAAATATAAGTCAAAAATTGTCAGAGCACTTGCTTGCATGGGAGGAAAAATACTCGGACCCAAAGCCATTGTAAGTATTACTTATTCCTTGGGCACTCTGACAAAAACATTATTACTGCCGCTGATAATATTTGTATATTCCTTGATTTCATTATCTTTATCTTCGATTTTCATCTCTTCTTTTCTTTATTGGCCTACCGTTGAATTACTTGTATTGTTTTTCTTCTAGGATAGAAGATTTTGATCGTGAATGCTTGCAATATTTTCTCTCTTTTCCAAGCAATTCACACACTTCAAGAGCCATTGTATCAGAATAAAAGTCTGTCCAATAGACGTTCAATTTCAGAGGAGTATTTGAAACCATATTTGTATAATTAAAATAATATGCATATTGATATTGTTTTGTGATTGTTATTATCGATAATACGTTTATAATTGTAAATTATTCACCATTTATATAATATTTCTATTATTACTATCAGTCGTGTGATAATATCACATGAAATAAATAATTGCATTTTTATGATTTTTCAGTTTGTATATTAAGAACAAAATGTTTTTAAAACTCATTATTTTCATAATAAGCTTGAACTTCGTCATTAAAACTACACCACTAAAGCTT